TCATCCATAACAGTGGTCCGCCCGCCGTGCGAAATGTGTCGGTCTTTTTTTTCCCTCGTCGATCATTAATCGATCATTCAATTATTTCGCCCCCCCCCACACACACACACACCCGACCACACCCGACCACCATAGTCGAGGTCCGGAGACGCCCCCGCGGCCGAGGGTGTGTTACACCTTGTTGAAAGCCGCGGCTTTCTAACACCGATTCCCTTATCCCAGCTCTTAGCACATCACTGTATTTCAACTGCTGCTCACGGTTGAGCGAGACGTCGACTACGGACGATAATTCATCCGGCGTGTCACTGCTAAACGACGGGTAACCTCGCGACACCGCGTTTTTTACACTTCGAACACATTGCACGGACTGAACGCTAGCGAGCGTTCCAAAACGAAAAAGACATCACCGCGTCCGAACACTGACCGGAGCTCGTCAACCGAGGCCTTCCAGCCGGAGCCCGGACGACGGCGAGTTTTACCGGCGATACGTGTCAAACGGGGTTTTCCCGATAATTTTCTCAAACGAACGCGCCGCCCATAACGCAGTAAAAAAAAAAAATGTACCGTTGTCGTTACACACGCGCCCACCGCGGTATCTTTCGCGCAACAATAACAACGCCAATGCTCACGGGCGCCATAACTGTTTGTGCCGATTAAACCGTGCCTGTTGTCCGTGTTGTTGTTGTCGCCCGGACACGCTAACCGTGACGGCGACGGCATGCTTGACGCACCGGCCTCTAGGCGAGAATCGTTAAAAATCGAAAATTCAAACGAATACCGTAACCGTCCGGCGACGTCGTTAGAAAACGAATAACTGTCCGACCACGGGTAACACGGTGACGGTTTTTTTTTTCTTCTATTTCAATTGCTATTTATTTTTTTTATTTAATCACACCGTTCGAAAACGTCGATCGGCGCGTTTGGATTTCGTATGCGTTCATTTCTGGCGAAACGATATCCACGAACTCGTCAATGACCACGGCGATTGCGCTTTATCGCGGCATAAATTATTGTTATTATTGGATTTATCGTCGTAGCTCGTTTTATTGTTTGTCTCGCTGCCGGCACCGATTGTTAGGGCATAACGTAATCATCGAGCGTTCACGTTTCCCGCGCCGACGCCCGCCCGCAACACCGTTGCTCAAGTAGGTCGGCGCACTCTAAATTTAACTGCTAATAACTACCGACTAATAACAATCAACGAAAGGCGGCTCCGGTCGGTCTCACGCAAACGTACACACACACACGCGCGCGCGCCAAGTTAAGTTAGGTAAGATTAATATTTATGTTATCGCCGTGAATTATTGTCGGATAAGTCGCGTAAAAAGGCGTCCACGCCGTGCGACGGCCCGGTGTACCACCAATACCGTTCGCGAGCTTTGGGCCCGTTACACGGTCGTCCCGTCGCTGTCGCATTCTCGTACGTTCCAATATGCTCTACGCTTGGGAATTCGGAATGAAAAATTCGTTCAGTTTTGACTCGGTGTCGACCAGGTCGAATGAAGTATTTAACTATGTCAAATAAAACATTTTTGTCGTGCGCGGTGTAGGCCGCTGGAGAGCCGCTGGACGAGCCTACTCCTTCGAAAAGAGAAGATACCGGGTTCATCCCTTAAAGTCTGATCGAGAAAATATAAAAACTTCAGAGTTTTCCGTAAACGTACGTAAAAACCCCGGACAATTTTTCGAGTATTATCGAATGTCGGTCAAATCATTTCTATTCTAAATACAAAAAAAAAAAAAAAAAAAAATTGATTAACTATTTAAAAACGAACAAATTTTAAATTATTAATGTGTATATAAAATATAAATACTCGTACAAATATAATAATGAAAAGCGAAAACAGAAAAGACGTCCTACGATAATGGAGACGGGTGCAGCCACTATTACTTAATCTACTTATATACCATACGGTACGTGAATCACATTATCTAATTTGCATTGATAAATGTATCCATAAATCAAACGTAACGAGATAAAGTCAATTGAGCCAGCCATGGCCTTTGAAAACATTATATAATATAAAACTAAATATAAACATTTCATATAAGTTTATTTTGGAAAAATGTAACTTTAAAGCGAAAAAAAAGTATCTAGAATACCCATAAATATAAAAAAAAAAAAAAAAGCAAAATGAAATGTCGTGCGTTTTATTCTATGTGGTATAAATCGAATTTGTAGCTGGCAAAGATTCATTTTAGAGCAATAAAAAAAAAAAAAAAAAAGCGATTGCCTTCAAAATCCGTACTCTAGTAATGTATACCTGTAAGCAACGATAAACCATTGCTAACGAAAAACCGATTCTGAGCGCAGTTCAGTTAATATTGATACTTTGTCAATAATATATATGTCATATTATGTTAAAATAATTAAACAGGCATTAAATATTTTCTTTAATAATATTTGTTAGAGACATAAATCTGTGACTAAATCCCACAGAATCATTTGGACGTCAAACCCACCCCTTGATGTAGGTAATATGAAGCACGCCTCTATTCCATCAGTTGATGTAGGATATTCGTTCATTCGGTACTTTGTACCAGTCAGATTTCCTTCAAAAAGATAAAAAGATTTTCTTCCTGGTAGAAAAGTATTAAAAGTAACAATCGTTATTGTTCACAGAAAAAAAAAAATTTTAAAAATTAATCATCATTGTAAAACCAAAATATTTCATGATCCACTATAAAAATATATAAAAACAGAATTTGATTATCTTTATTATTTCCGGAGATACATCAATGGGTATGTCTTCGTAGAATACCCTTTATTTGTTTATTTATGTAATCCCAATAATTTACCATGTTCGTGTTCAGTTTAATCGATATGGTTTGTCTATAATAATTCCCATAAAAGTGGTCGAAAAAACAAAATTGAAAAAACTCTGTGAAACACGATGGGTCAATCGACATAATTCGCTTATTACTTTCAAAAAAAAAAATTTACATTTACATAATTGCCGCTCTAGAACATCTTCAAAAATATGATACAAATGAGACTAAAAAACAATTTTACCACTAGGAGGGCTCATACCATCTAGTTTGACACCACATTATGTCGACCAATCAATCTTAGCTGCTGCTTCGATTTACGAAAATTACTTTTTAATTAGTATACAATCAGAATTTATTCATTTTTGGAGAACAAACAATGGCAATTAGAAAGAAAATTTACCAGAGACTACTGTAGAAGCGATCCAATACCGCACAGTGCGTTTTCCGAATACAAAGAATATTCATCGTTTATTTGCTATTCTGCCTGGAACATCCGCTACCCCGGAACGTACATTTTCTGTTCTAAAACGACTGAAAACATGCTTACGGGCTACAATGAACGAAGAAAGGTTGAACGGTTTGGCATTAGCAACAAATAAATAAAAACGAATTAGAATAGAAAAAAAAAAAAAAAAAAATATTGAATGCTTTTATTAAATAATCTCCTAGAAAGATGAAAGTTACATGTTGGGCACAATAAAAATATTTTATTATAAACCATAAAAAATAAGTTTTTCATTAAGAATATTTACCTTGTTATTATTTAAGCAGTTTGCAATAAATTATTATAAATGAAGAGTTGTTAAATATTTGATTAATTTCAGCAGGATGTATTTAGTATTTTATCTGGTCATATAATAAGCACACAAATTAGCGAAAATAATATAAATTATTTTTGTATAAGGTTTTTTTTATTCCCCCCCCCCCTCCCCATTGAGAAATCTTGGCTACGCCGCTGATTTGTTGATCGTACAGTTAGTATAGTTATAGAATAGTTTTTTGGCGTTTTTAAGCGCTATTTTGTTGATTTTAAGTGCGTATGAATCCGTGTTCCCTAGTTGTTGCCCAAATTGTTTGATCATGTATGGGGGACTTTCTAAGGTACTCATCTAAATTCTATAGAATTGTTTTTACAAAAAAACTAATTTTTGTAAAATTGTATCACACAAATATTCAAGTTGTTTCATTACTCAGTTCCTGTATTTTCAATAATTTGATATTCCGTTACACGTTTTGCTATTCTGGAAATATAGATAAAGATTTCTGGTAGATAAGAACAAAAAAAAAATCGTACATTTCGTTTTTTTTGGTTTTTCCCAATTATTAAAAAAAAAAAACTTCAAAATAGACATTAAAAAAATGACTATCTCTGTTAAAAGGAACAAAACCGATCACATATCATTTTTGAATCGGAACAATATTTCTGGTAGAAAACATCGTGTAAACATAATATAAAAACAATAAAAAGATATTTTGCGTAAATATTTACGGCGCGCCGCGGCGTTACCGTTTTCATTGTTTTTGTTGTGTTTACACAATGTTTTCTATCGGGAAAATTGGTCCGAACCGAAAATGACATGGGACCGATTTTGTTCCATTTAATATTTCGCCACTGACGGAGTAAGTCGTTTTGCAAAATCCATATTCAAAGTGGTTTTCGTAATAATTGGGAAAAACCAAAATGGACGAACAACACGTATTTTTTTCGAATTACGGCACGATTTCATTGTTTTAAATTTGTACGGCTTATGATCCCTACCATGGACGTTGCTCCAATAAATAAACAACAATACGACTCATTGTTCTTGAGTAATTCGTTTAAAATTATTTCGTTAGAATTTTAATATCAAATTTTAACCAAAATCATAAATTCTATGCCCTTTCAAAATATGTATAAACGAGTCGCTCAGAATCGTTTTTCGTTATCAATGGTTTATCATTGCTCACGGACATAAACTAAATAACTTAATGTATTTATCTTCTCAGTTTCCCACTAACAAATGATGAGTGGCACACCAGTCCGCAGTATCAGGAATTTTTTTTTTTTTTGATCATTGTTTCCAAAAAGTTCTTACAGAAAACAAAAATCACAAAAACAAAATAAAATACAATGTGCACACTTAAAAATTAGTTTTGTACGACTTTAAGTAATCCATAATAAAATAAATCATCAAAATTCAAATGCACCCTGCATACAAATTTGCCCTACTCACCCCTACCTCTTTTTTTTTTTTTTTTAGGTGTAGAAGTTACTTAACCTTGGCAGGTTAAAGAGCAATGTCGCTTTCACAAGATACACTACTGTTGCAGATTTTATCACTTGGAAAGCGGAAAACTAAATTTTTTTTTCAAATATCTAATTGGAATTGAATAATAAATACAGACAGTTTATTTTGGTTGTTTTCATCAATATTCCACTACTTTTTGTCCAAATAATTCAATATTTAAAATAGAGGTAATATAATATATAGGTACAGTGTAATATAAAGGTGTGTATTTAAAACGTCTTCCTTCTACCTAATTCCTATGTCAAGTACTTGGGAATTTATAAAAAAAAAAAAAAAAAAAACTATACTAGAAAATATAATATTTTCATATAACCTGTTATTTAATAAACAATATTGTCAAAAGTTATTGATGTTAACTTACAAAACGTGCACATACAATGACGGCAAATAATGTTGACAAACAACAATTGGCGATATTATAAAATATGTCAACAAATAATTATAATATATAGTGATGCATGATAGCAATTGGTAACAACTATAACAACCAACAAGTAATATTGTCAATGTGTCAGTGTAAAAAATCAACGAGAAAAAATTTGGTTAAAGGTATGTTCAAACATACGCTGTTATGTAAACATTAAACTGTTTAGGGAAATAAAAAACAAACAAAAATAATACAACACTATTCAATATTATTTAACAGTTCAACACAATTTTTAATTAAAATAAATTATTTGGATAATCAAAAAATGTAATACAATAATAATATAATAAATATTATTGTTGTATAATATTCTATGTACAGAAAACAACAGTTAAAAACATAAGTTAAAATGCGTTCAAAAGTAATAATAAAAATAATAATTGTATACTTGATACAGTGATCTTTATTTTGGTTTTAACATCGTTTGTTCATTTATGAAGCTGAAAACATGTGAACTTTCATAATTGACGGATTAACAAATGGCACGGGGAGACAGATTTTTGTTTTTAACAATTGTGAAATCAAGCAACTAATATTTCCTATGTTTAATAAAATATAATACCAAATTTCGTTTCAACATTTTAGTAAAACATACCTTAACATTTTCAAAGAGCCAAATTAAGCAATATTCGATTTTATTTGTTCACATATTTTAAAAATCACCAAATTAGAAAATAATAAATTTATGTTAAACTAAAATAAAATACACATGGTATAGAAATCAGAACTACAAGGGAGGGAAATATATAAATATAGATATATATATATATATATATTTTATGTATATATACATACATGATTTATGTATAATATGTACAAAGGCGTGCATATATTTTTGAGTTTTCACTAATAATTTTAATGACAAAGAGCAATCTTTAGTCAAATTTGCACAGCCCATTTTTACAAATATATACAGTTCTATGTTCAGAGTATAACAAAAGATTTCCTTAGGTATATAAATAAATTCAAGAGCTTGGATTTAATTCACTGACGAGTACTACCTCCTCGGTAACTGGTTCCGATATAAAATCACTTCCCGTCAAATCCAAGTCAACGTACATTTTAGATTTTTTTGGGTTATTACAATCACTGTTACGGCTCTCTATGTCATCTGTTTTGAAACCAAAGTGTTCGACATGAGAATTGGAATTTTCTGCACCAGTGCACATGAGAACATTGGATAGTATCATTTTCTGATTGTCATTTTGATCATTCGAAAAAACTTCTTCCCCGCTATGCATCTGAAAATCACCGTCTTCGGCAGAAAATTCAATAGTGTTATTCATCATTGCTTCTAAATCAGTCATCTCTTCTTCTGCCACATCTTCTATTTTTAGAGTATTATTATTTTTCAACGGATCATTTTTGTTATTTCCACTAGTAGAACCCAACAAGTCCATTTGGACACTATCTTCTCCAACAACAACATATTCGACATCAGTGTCTATGGTACTTACAGTGCTGGGCAACGGTTTACAATCATTGTTCATTTGTTGCAATATATCTGAATCGGAACTAGAGTTATTTAATTTAAATGTGCCCCTTTTTCTAAGGGGCAGTCGTCCTAAAAGAGCCTCAGAAAACTTTTCATTACCACAATCCAAAATCTTTGTAATTAATGGTGAAGATTTATTTTCCACTTCAGATACACTCAGCAGAGGCAAATCTTTTTTCCTTTCAGGATTTGAAGCCATAGATTCTTTAAATGCTTTTATATCTTCAGCAGTCAAAACATATTTTTCTATGTTCCCATCATCTGCCACTTTATACAGCACCACGTCATCCGGATTGTCTGGTGGCGAATGGTTTTTGATGTTTTTTAAAATTGGATCTTCTAAATTAGTTTCTACAATTGGGGCAATAGCCTGAGCCACTTCTTCTATGTTACTAACCATATCTTCAGGTTGCTTAAGATTTGCCAAGTTCATGTTATCAGTGAGTTGAAAATGAAGCGCGTCTTCGTTAGCTAATATGTCATACACATTCTCTGTTAATGTTATGTAGTTACCATCACCGTTCTCGATTAATATTGGAATATCAGTCGGAAGACCGGCTCCTTTTAATGCATTTATATACCTTTCAGAACTTTGTGTTTGGGTTTCTTGAAGTTTTTGTACTTTAGGTTTTTCATCAGGTTTATCATTTTTGGTTAATAAGCTAGCTAATAAAGGAGACCGATTAACGTCTTCATCAGTCTTGATGTCAATAATAGGCATAGGCTTTTTTATATCATATCTATTTTCTTCTAATGAATCCGCTGGCCTTTTTCTATTACGTTTATACTTTTGGTCTAGTTCATCATTGTAGTTTGGATTGTTATTGTCTAAACCATTACTTATAGGAAAATCCTGATGATTAATGGCTAACATACTACTGTCATTGGTTTTATGTTTTGATGGTGATATATATGATTGGTTAGAGCCCGCAAGTGACAATAGTATTTGGGCAGATTCTGTCTGTGGTAAAGTAATATGAGCAGGTTTGTTTCCTAACGTTTCACAACATGGGCTTTGGAGATGTGCTTTGGGCCGTCCTCTACCAGCACATGGTCGTTTTTCATTGGTAAGTCCCAGACGTGCTATTACAGCTAAAGTTAATAAATGATAAATTAATTTATCATGTTATGACAAATTATTGTTATTCATTTTTCAATTAAAAGACTTACAAACGGGTGAAGAATAATTTCCATTTTCTTCAATTCTAGGTGTAATTGGAACAGGGGAAGACGAAACTTGACAAATTCTAGTTTGAGTTGTTGTACTACCGACGAGAGAAGGTGGTTTTATCGAATTTGAATCTTGTAAGCTTTCGTGAGCTAATGATGATAACCCTTTCACCTGAAAAAACATTTTTAGGCACTTCAAAAAAATATTCTTAAATAATAAAAAGCTAGATATACCATTGGTATACCTAGATACACCATATTATGTTTATATAGAAGTAATAAAAATAGTACAAAAACAGTTTTAACTTGTAGAATTATTTTGAAAATACTATAATAAAATTATTTTTCTTCTAAATCAGTAATAACAATATAATAACAATTATGTTAATAACTTAATGGAATTTTGTCTAATTTCCATGATTTATTAAAATATCGATATTAGTATAAACACATTGCAAGCACTTACAAAATATACTACTGGATAGAGAAAATTATTATTTTGAGTATCGTCTCGAATATTATTATTATTATTATTAGTACATAAAAATCAATATTTTATAATGTAATTTACATGTATTACTTTAATGAAAATAATTATGATATTAAACAAAAAATTATAAAGTTCTACAGGTAACTGTGTAGATTTTTAAAAGATTATTAGTTTTAAATTGGTCAGATATTAAACACAGCATAACTTAAAATAAATTTAGATAATCCTCTATAATGATAAAATAACAAAGCGAGCAAAAATAAATCCATTTAATTTATGATAGTCTAAAATATTTTATTTTTATTAATTTTTTATCATTTTTATTTTTAGGAACTTATTAATAATATTAATAAATATATATTAAATATATTAATAATTTCAATTTCCATTATCCGTTTATGAGATATTCCACTTTTAAGATTGTCGTTTTGTAAATAGTGTGGGACAGTAGTGGAAGACTACGTAAACGCTGTGCACTACACTCTCCCTCGACTCGAACTTAAAAGTAGAATATCTCGTCAACAGATTGACGAAAATCAACAATTTATTTTAACTAATACTCCATCTATTTATGGTAATTTTAATATAGGTTTCCATTTTAAAATCAAAAGTAGGTGATTGCCATCAAAAATTAGGGTATCAAAAAACTAAGATAAATGTAAAACTGTAGAGCCGATTGTTTCCTTGATTTTCTATAAAACAATAAATTCTAAAAAAAAATTAATACTTTCTGAAATGAGTGTATCACACTAGATTAATAACTCTATATAATGTATGTATCTTAGGACCTTACCTCCAATTTTTAGGCAAAGGAAATAAAATTCAACATTTTATCAATTTGAATATAAAAAAAAGAACTGATACTGGAGATGGATTTGCTACTGTGGTAGGTAAGAAGTTGAGAAGGTAGGATACAAAGTTATTTAATTTATATTAGAGAACAACGATAAACCATTGATAACAAACAAAATCTGAAGCAAAGTTCGGTTATAGATGTTTTGAAAAGTCGTAATATTTATAACTTTTGTCAAAATTAAATAATAAAATTCTTATAAAAAAAACACATTAAAATGTATTTCTTAGCCACAAAGTAAAACTTATAATGAACCACCTGTTGAATTTTCAAGCACTTTTATTTAGTCCATCAATTTTATCCGCAGAATGCCAACCAAATAAAAATTGTGTAAAAAACACACAAAAGTAAAATATAAATTTTCTGTCAAATTTCAAGTCTCTAATAATATTTTTAACTGAACTAAACCAAAAAACCAACTTGAAAATAATAAAACTGTTAATTTCTTAAATTTTCAGTTCTTTCTACATCTTTTTTTTTCGGTTTTGATTAATTATTAAAAAAACTACAAGGTTATAAAATAAATTACTTACTCACTGACTAGATTAAAAATTTAACAAAAAAATGTATTGTGTTGTTTCTCTATTAGAGCAATATTTTTGATATAAAACAAAGTTTAAAAAAAAATGTAAAAGTTTGAAATCAATAATTCCACGGTGCACCATAAATAATTTGCCATTTTACTAATAATTTTTTTTCCAGTTTTCCCAATTATTTGGAAAATCATAAAATTACTTCTCTACTGCATCAAGTAATGAACATTTTCTTTCTCTAATCATTCTTAATCAAATCCATCCATTTCTTTTTCAATCTTATTCTCAACCTCTTTAGTCTTTAATTCTACATTTATTTTCATTGTAATGCATACCTGCTCCAGATTTCTCTCTCCCCATGGCATACTATATACTTTTTTATATGCTGTCTATTTTCTTTCATTTTGTCCAAGGAAGCCATGACTCAACTCATTCTAAATCTTATCTTCTCTTGTCACTCCACTTATCCACTTAATTATTCTGATCTCTGCTATACTCATTTTCTGTCTACTGCCTCAAGACTCCAAGACAACATAATCGGTCTCACCACACTTTTGTATAGTTTATCTATAAGTCTCATTGCAATTTTCTAGTCATATAAAATACTGGATGCTGCTCTCCACTTTTTCCAACGACACATAACATAACCTAACCTCCTATGCTTTACATCCTTATGAATGCCACCCTTCTTTTGTACAAAAGATCCTAAGTACTTAAAACTCTCAACCTCCCTTTTTATAATCCTATAGTGTCATTATCTGTCTTGTTCTGGTCTTTCAAATCGTACACTGTTTTACTACTACTTATTCTTAGTTTCTTTTCTTTAAGTGCTACTCTCTATTTTTCAAGTGCATTGTAAACTTATTCTTGATTTTCTTTTATCAAAGCTATTACATCTGCAATCATTATACACCATGGTACCTGCTTTTACCTGTAGCTCCCTCAAGGTGTTTTTATACAGAGTGAGTAATTTGTACTCAACATAAAATATCAAATAAATATAAAAAATTTTGTTGTGAAAAGAAAATTAAGAAAACAAATAAGTACCCAAAATTACAGTTAATAATTATAGTAAATAATTTAAATTATAGTTATTATTTTATTACAGAACTTACTTAGTTAGGCTAAATAATTAAATGACATAAACACACGCTATTATTAAATAACATGACGTCATTTTTGGGATTCTATGGTTTTACTGTGTTTTTTTCCTATCTGTTAACAATTTTTCAAACAGAAAAACTGCTCCAATCAAAATATAAGAAAGACTATTTTTGTTGCATTTTGGACCCAGTTGCTAAGGAAATATGTCATTTTTTGATGTTCTAAATAATTTTCATAATAATTGGGAAAGCCCAGAAAATAATTAAAATGAAAAACTAATAAATTATAGTTATGATTTTATTATTTTATAAAATGTTTAAGAATTATGTTTTCTATTAAAAATATTGCGCCAATCGAAAAACCACAGAGACCTTTTCTGTTTTAATTAAGATCTATTTGGTTAATAAAGAAGTTGTCTTTTAATTTTCTGTGTAGTTTTCTTAATAATTGAGCAAAATCAGAAAAAAACAGCAAAGTTTATGGAAATAATGGTTTCATTATTTTTAATTTTGTTTTTTTCTTTATTGTAATTCAGTTTAAAAATATTTATTTAGACTTAAATTTTCATTTATATTCTTCTTTTAATTTTAGACATGGTTATATTTTTCAAACTCTGACGATTTATTAACTATTTATAGGCATTTTATTTTTGGGAGTTTTTGTTTTAGTAGGTAGTATGAGAATATAATTATTTAACCAAACAGAAATGCTTGACAATTTAACAGGAGGTTGATATAACCAAGTAATGTATATTTTTTTTTATATACATATAAAAGTTTTAAGATCAAATTTCAATGAATATCTTAAATATTTTAACCTTCAAATATTATATAAACAAATTTCACTCAAAATCATTTTTTGTTTTGTTATCAATGGATTATCATTGAGTACAGATATAAATTAAATAATTATATGTATCCTACCTTTCTACATATAACAGTGGCTTACCCATCATCAGTATCAACTCTTTTTATAATTAGTAACTTATAATTTGTTTATTTGGATATTTTATAAAAAAAATTTAATTAATTACGATATATATATGTATTAATTCTAATTAATAATATACTGTTCACTAAATTACAATGGATAATATAAACCATATTTATTATAATTAAATTGTATGTTATCTTAAAAAATCATCTTAAATTAAGTATTGATTGGCTGAATGGTTCAGGTTTACCATTTAAAGTAAAACTGCACTTTGCAGCAGTGGAGAAGTATTATGAAAACAAATTCCTCATTGCTGTTGACACAGAAAAAAAAAATCTGCACTTAAATTTATAACTATAGATCAGTAGACAAATTACTAAAATTTATAGAAAGTTAAAATTGTATTGCATACAATTATCTAAGACAATTTATAGTTACAATAGAATTATTCACTTAAATCATTATAACATTTCAACCAAATTTTAATAATATTAGTAGGTACTACTGTAGTAGAAAAAAACAAATTTGGAAAGAGGGGGGGGTGCCACTAGTGTAATACTAAACAACATTGTATACAAAACTATTACAGAAATGTATAGTTTACAATTCATGCAAATATAAGTTAGGAGCGTAATTGGTGCTGGGTTTTTTTTTAAATTTATTTCAGTAGGGTCTTTGGTAGATGAAATGTTCTTTTCAAAATGTTGAACAATTAAAATATTATCCAATTATGTATCTATAAGTCATCTGTAAGTAAGAACTGAATATTATAGGACCCATTAAAAATAAAATCATTGTAAAACTTTCTCACTTTGTTCTTTATTCAGGAAATGAATATAACAAAAAGAATATATTCTTAAAATGTAAATCATTAAAACGTATAATTTGAAATATTGAAAATTTATAAAATATATTTATGTATTTATTGCTATTTTGTTAAAGGATCTCAGGAAAATTTGTCAAATAAATAAATATGTGGGTACCTATACAGAGTGATTTTTTTATCATGAATCAGAAATTATCTACGAGGATTTTAAGTGAATTTAATTTCTGTTTTTTCTAATCATCTTTGAATCATTTAAGTTTTGTTTTAAAACCATTTTTAATTTTTTACCTCTACTCCATATACCTTAAATAAGTACATATTTTTGATTTCTAAATAGGAACCTCTCTTTTGAACACAGATTTGAATAGAGAATATTTTTCTAGACATTTTGATATGCATCACATTAATACCGTTTATGAGTTACAACAGTGTAAAGTTTAGATCGGAAGAGTAGAGAAGTCATAGATAGGCAATTTATTACCCTTTTCTATTCCTCCGGTCTAAACTTTAAACTGGTATAACTGATAAACGGTAAATCTGATATTACTGTGATGCATATCAAAATTTCTATACAAATATTCTCTATTCAAATCTGTGTTTAAAAGGGGGGGGGGTCTTATTTGAAAATCTAAAGTATGCACTTATTGAAGGTATATGGAGTAAGGGTAACAAATTAAAAATAGTTTTAAAACAGAACTTAAACGATTCCATAATGATTAGAAAAAAACAGAAATCAAATTCACTTAAAATCCTCTGAAATAATTGCTGATTCGTGATAAAAAGATCACCTTGTATAATACAATTAAACATTATATGAAGCTTGTTAATCATTAAATGGTTTTTAACTTATTTTTTCCTATTAGCACAAAGAAATAAATACAATTTAATATTATTCTTACAAAGTGTTAGCACAAACTGGTGATTATATTTGCCGCCAACCAGCAAAATTATTTTGGTTAATAAATACTACACAGAACATTGCAAAAACAGCCTTAAGTCTCCGAATTAGAATTATTTATACATACATACATACATACATATATTGAATAAATATCTATGGCAAGTTTTTAAAATTATAAAATTGACAAATATATAAATCTAACATATTATAACAAACTGTCCATTTAGAACAAGGTAAATAAAATTTATGTAAACAAAATATTTGAATATCTATAGTTTATTTCTCTTACTAAATAACTGTATAAAGTGACCATATGAAATAATATTAGACAACACAAATTTACCTAAAGTATACAATGTCAATACTATTTAGCATCAAAACTTAGAGAAATATTTTTAATATAATAACATCTATTATTTTTATATAATAATTTTTTTCCAAAAAAATGTATCCCAATACCAAACAAATTTAAAAATTCTAAAATAACTTATAGTTATCGTATTTTTTTAAATACTAAATACCATAAACACAATTTATAATTTTATGTGGAAAGTAGGCAAGTAGTGACTGAATTTTTAACAGTTTATATATATATTTTCTCACTATACATGTAAAAATTTACAAATATATTTTTTTTTTTTTTTGATTTAGAGCGTAGCAAGGAATGTATTGATTTTACAATGATGTTTATTTTTTTTTTCATCAGAGAATAACTTTTTACCAGAAATCTTGTTTCGATTTTCAAGTATAGTACTTTTTTTGAAAAGTAATTTTATCTGTGTGGTACTTTAGGGAGGTAATTTTTTGATTTTCCCATCAGTTTTCATAATAGTTGAGGAAAAATGAGAAAATTGACTTATATGTATAAAAAAAAAACTTAGGTATGAATTGTTTTTCGTTAGCAATGGTTTATAAATTAAATTTCCCTCTACATTCTACCTAGCTTCTCACCTATAACAGTAGCCCACCCATCATAATATAGATAAATATAAAAATAACCATATGGAATATCAAATTACAAAATTACACGATTGACGAATAAAATACAAATGAGTGGCCATGGCAGTGATACTGGCTATAGATGACTCAACCCTATAATATAATATACATATTTTTTTTTTTTATTGTTCAACAAAATAAAAATTATAAATAACTAATACTAATCTGTTTGAATGAATGAAATGCTAAACACATTATAGCCTTTGATGAGCCAATATTTTCGAATATATCCACATAATTGTTAGCTAAATTTTCTTCTTTGGAACATTACTTTTTTTAAGTTATGCTATTGTTATTGCCGGTGTATGATACATGATTAATAAATATATATATATCAAATATACCTATTTCATAACAATAATAAAAATTAATATTCAATAATAATGGGTTTTTCTTTTTTGTATTATTACAATTTATTTTCGCTGTTTGTAGGTTTAAGCATATTAGTTCTAACTATATTGTATGTTACTTAAAATACTTAATTTGTTTTGTTTGTTTGTTTAATGGTAGATATCCATGTCTTAGCTGTAAAGTAAAAAAAAAAAAAAAACAAATTACCTCAAAAAATTTAGCCGCTTCCACAAGAGCATGCAAATTATCCTCGGTAACATTTGTTTCGCCACAATACATGAACTCGATTAATGATTTGAGCACACTAAATTTCATATCTTTGAGAACAATCATAGGGTGGTTACCCAATTCACGCTAAAATGTAAATAATTAATTAGAATTATATATATAGTTAATGCACTGCATCGATTTAAAACAGTTATAAAATCCAAAAGTTTTCAATATTGTATCCAGAATACAGTTACAAATTGATTTGAATAAGAAACAATTACACTTATTATAGAAAAGGTTAGCCGACCAATACGTTAGTTGAATTCCGATAAATTATCTTTACTAAAGGCAATTCAAAATTGAATAATAAGTAAGGTGTTTTACACATTCCGGGATTTAAAAGATAAGACGATTTTATATTCTAAACAAAGTGTTCCGTGGTTGAATATTAACAACACAAGTGGCAAACATTACACGACTATATTAAGAAAATACAGAATCTATCAATACAACCGAGAAACTATAACGAAATAATAATATAATACACAAATGTTTATAAAACCAAATATTGATTATTGTATGTATTATAAAATAATTACCTCAAAATACGGGCTGCAAGCTGCAAGAACCGATCTATGAACTTTAAGGCTGTGCGTGTTACACATCAAAGTGACGTCGACCAATTGCTGACGTTCCAAAAGGTATCCAAGACGCGCCACTAAATGTGTAGAATGATCGTCCCATGAAACCATAAATCGCGTTGGATTCCCCATCTAAACATTTACAGCGATCATTACCACACCACAACAGTGAATAAAATGAAATGGGCAATGCAATCTTACTGATAAGAGTGATAGCCAAATAAATAATAAAAAATAAATCTGAACAGAAAAAAAAAAAAAAAAAATAATAATAATAATAATAATAATAATAAAAACCACATAAGATAACGATTTTATCTTTATATCATTGCATCGATATTAGTTTACAAAAGTGATGGCATTTTAATAATAAATATATCACGCCTCTAATGGTGAAACGTGAACAGTGTCATTAAACTTTGAAAACGTTAACGACACGACCACAAAATGTGCGCAAAATATTACGATGAATTAAAAACAACCTCTGTAATATCGTTGTATAATTACAACTGCACACCGAAACAAAACTAATCTTTAATCAGGTCTGTATCATGTAGTCGGTAGGTAACCAATAACTGGGTATTAGGTATCACGGCAGTAGGTAGGTGGGTAGGTAGGTACAATGCGAACCGCGGACGAAAAATATCGCGTACGAACTTGGAAATCGAACGCTTTCTCCGCGCAGCATAGGTGGGCACGATACATCGATGTTATTTAATACATAGATTGTTCGCAAGAATAAATTATCACCACGATATCTACGATCGTCCGAACGAAACGAAATGGCAAAATAATACGGGCACCGGAATGTGCCGTCGGCTGCAATATTCGATTAACATATCTGGCACTATCGTCGGGCCGTACCGATTATTGCGCGGTGTTCTCTGACCGTTTTTTTTTTCTAGGTATCAATAATGTAGAAATAAAAAAAAAAACGAATAAAATCCAACACACCCGACGATTGTTTTTTTTTTCTCGAGTGTCCGGCTACTACAATAACGATTGCATAATATTATCGTGCCGAGAGCAGAACGCGGCGCACGACCGACACACGGCGGATCGCAGACGTTGCGTTGCGTATCTGCGGGCACCACCACTCGGCGTCCGCGGCTGCGGGCGACATCGACGTGCGGAAATTAACAAGCCAAGACGGATACGCGCTCCGCGATAAATTGATAATACAGATCGGGGAATCGACGACACCGTGAGATTCCACACCGGCGACGCATTCTGGAGCCGGCGCTCGCACGGTCGGTCGGTCGGTCGGTCGGTCGTGGAGCGGACAGCGGATTAGTGTACGGTCAATGCCGACTCTTGTGGACGGCGAAAGCGCAGCCGATACCGCCGCATCGCATTGACCGTGGTCCTCGGACCGGAGTACTGAACGCACCGCGTGCGGGACTCGAAAAAAAAAAAAGTACGCGCGTATCGCGTGCCCTACGGCCAACCGCACGGGGGGGAAATCGCAGCAGCTGCTGCGGGAAAACATATGACCCGCGGCGGCGGCGGGCGGCTGGTCTCACTCAAGGCTACTAGTTTTTCGCCGCCGCCGCCGACCGAAACGTCCGGAACAGTCAACAGACAAAATCCGTCAAACCCGATCCTCGGGTCCCGGCGGACGACCGTGTCTTACCTTTTCGGCGGATGAGACGGCGAAACCACTACTACGAGACCACCGGTAGCATCGGTCGCGGGGCTATATGGACATGATTGTCGTTCGCCCGCTCCAGAGCAACAGCGAACAGGACGATGACGGTGAAGCGGACGACGGACGCGGCAAGGTCGGCGGCGGAGTGGCGGTCGGACGACGACGACGACACGGACTACGGTACCGAAAAGACTGAGACCCGGACGACGACGACGACGACGACGGCGGCGGCGGTGACGGCAGCAGCAGCAGCAGCAACGATAACGACGATGACCACACGGACATTATAGCAACCGACACAACCGGACGTTTACTCCGGTCCCGCCGTCGTCGTCGTCGTCGCCGCCGCCGTGGCTGGTGCTGTCGTTCGGACCGACGGGAAGTCCGTGTTGTCCCGCTGGAACCACGGCGAAAACCACCACGTCCACTGGTCGGTATTGCGGTCCTGTTGCGCGCAAAACGGTTGCCGCCGTCCGCTTCGCGACGATTGAACCGCGTATGGTGACAAACGCGCAGCTACCGTTATTGGTGTTCTATCGGTGGATTTTTACCGCGGCACGGTCGTCCGAACTATGGCGTCTTTACTATCCACGACGAGATCCCGTTGGTCCGTTTCGTGCCGTGTACCTTAATAGAGCAATAGAGCGGTCCACTAATTTTATTATCATTAATTATTGACCAACGCAAAACTATACTATTTTTAGTATGTATGTGTGCGTGTGTGCGTGTGTGTGTGTGCGTACAGTTAAAAAAATAAAATACCACAGAACCGTACACGGACCAAGTTCAATAATAATAACAATTCAAATGTTTGAGAACACTCGAACGATGCGATCGTAAATGTATGCACACTGTACGGTACTATTGTACAACGTACCAATGTACATATCGTGTGGCCCGTTCGGGGGGGTGTAGTGGGCACGGTGTAACGGGCGCTGCGCGCGCACCGCCGTGTATACAAGTGCGGCGGTCGCGGGACCCTAGGTAGGCCGCGCGGTCGATACCGTGACGTCACGTCGGGGACCTATCGATTTTTCTTTGTCCGCTTTGTAAGATAATCTTAATCCGCGTCCTCGACTCGGTCCCGCTTACCTGTGCTCGGCTATCTCTCCAGCGCAGCAGCAGAGCGCACAGCATTGTGCGATGAGAGAGTACGCGAAGTACGTGCGTACCACGGTAATCAGTGTCGCCAAACAAATAGATCCTGGTTGGAAAGTACAATAATTTCAGCGGATTTTTTTTTTTTTTTTTTGTTTTTCATTTGTTACCACGGGGAAAGGTCTGTGTCCTGTGCGTAGTATATATTATATATATATACATATAGATTAAGAGAAGATATTATTATACATATAGATTAAGAAGATAATATTATAGATATTTTAATTTTGATTATTCGCGATGCATGCACGAGGCTAGACACAGCGAACTCTCCGAAACAAAACAAAACAAAACATAATTTAACTTTAGCGAGCAAAACAAACATATTAATAAAATAAATTGTGTTTTCCCTACCTATAGCTAAATCAATTTTAAATTTAAGATAATAAATACGAACTCTGAATAAACTAACATCCCCACCAAAGTTCAGAGGTTTTTTTTTTCTCTATAACTTGGCGATCATTTGGATTGGTTAGGATCCGGACCGAACGATAAGCACCAAGTATTCTCTACTTTGATATTAGTGCGTTTATGGTAACTATCAAATTTAAGGTTTGCCTTTAAAACCATGAAAAACGCATCTTATTATTTATTATGACTCGGTACCTAATCACTTAAAATTTTACTCAAAATATTTATTTTACATTCAGATGTTTATTTACCAAAATAACGGACATTCAATCCTAGATCATCAGGCTAAAATATTTCATTACATATTATATTAAATTAAAATTTAAAATCTATAAATTCATTTTCGGTGTAATTTCTAGCCACAACTGATTAAATACTTATTTACACGCTTTCTAGATGAAACAAAACTATACCCGTATATTAATATAATATGTGCAGTTATATCAAAAATCCTTTTCTTTTAACCTTTGCGTTTAAATAAATCATCAGAAATTTATAACACAGCAATGTTATTAGTATACATTTTAAAAATAGAATTATTTCTAACATGTTTTGGCATAAAATTATCATACGTAATATATAAAAAGATAAAGATTAGATAATTACATTTGCCGATTTAAAGTATTTAAAAAATTCCATATAGGTATACATACATACATAAATTATAATGGCAACTGGTTTGTTTTCCCAGAGTAATTAATCTGATCTGCATCAGGGATGGACCCAGATAGACAACATTAATTATTCTCTACTATGAACAGATTTATCATTTTATATCTTGTTAAGCAGCTACTGCATTCAATTGATGATTGGATAAATATTAAAAAATAATTAGTGAAATATAATGTTCGATAAATCATTCGAAGGACAATATACATTTGTTACAATAAGAATAATACATAGTTAATATATAATTTTGTTTTATTTTATATTAATATTATAACTTGATCGATCATGAACATTTTAAAAAAACATGCAACTCTCAGATATATATAATAAACAATATACATTTCATATATATATATATATATGTATAAATTTGAATTAAATCTAATTAATAATAAATAATAAATAGTCTGTTTATATTTTGCACTTATACAGTAGCTTTTTTAATAATATACATCATAGTACATGTGGTTTATATTATTTTTAATATAATAAATATTTTATTACAAAATGGACTAGATACTTTTAAATTTCAAAATTAAATAAACAAATCAGTTTTAATAAAGCCATGTTTAAGTTAATTTACTTAAAGATGAACACAACCAGTGGAACAAACAATCATAAAAGTAAAACCTTTGTTCAAAGCAAACTGGAAATAAAATTATTTTTTCATCTTAATTATTGCACATTCAATTAATTGTAAAAGAAAAATAACAAACAAAAAAAAAAATTGTAATCTACTAATACTGGACAAATTTCAAATCATACGGATATTATTTATATATATATATTAAGTTAATAGTTTAAAATTTAATTTAGACAAATTAATTTTGATTGAATATTCTGTTCAAGTACATTATATTTATATCTGATGTTTTACTAATTAAATTATATCCGTATACTCAAAAATAAGTGGTACACAACAATTTTATAACAAAAAAAAAAAAACAACAATAAGTGATTTATAGTAATAATACTACATAACAATATTCACATGTTTGGTTGTTTGGTTAACACATTACTTAATAGCATAAAGAAGTGGTTTATTTTGGTATATTTTATTATTGATAATAAGTAGTGAAGCTTTTTGTTAATGTTAAATAATTACAAAATTGTACATCATACAATTAGTATGACAAACATACAACAATAGATGATCAATATTATTTAAGAATAATAAAATAAGTAACCTATGTGGTTAAAGTTAATTTACAATTTTATTATTAAAAAACAAATAGCTTTTTATAAAAGATAATTTAGTAAACACATTAATTTTATTTAAACAAAATCGGGTTATACACTCATGATAAATGATTAAATCGTACATTGAAAATAAATATAAAATATTAATCAAGATGGTATTCAACATAGTTCACACAAGTTAAATAATTAAGGGTAATTTGGCACATTGTAAAATAATTTAAAATAATAAGCTTATAAGGAGGGAGGAATGAAATTTTAAATTCACAATTATGAGTGATGTTAATAATAATTTTATATTTTTCAAATAAATACATTTTACATTTATATCACTATGTCAATATTATTTTAAGTTGGTTTATTAAAATAAACAGGAAAATATTAGCCAATTTTTTCAGTTTTTTAAAAATATTATTAGTGTGTCGAATGCAGAGTAGAGTAACATTTTATAATTATTTGAATTAAATAAATATCAAACAAAGCAAAATGTAATACAGTATTTTAAATAGAAATCAACAATTCAATTTTATAAATTCACAGAATGTACCAATGTCCAATGAGTTACATAATAGTTAAAAAATAAATTGAATTTTTTATGCAAATATTAATTTAGTTATATGCAAAATAATTATGTTTTAAATAAACAAATTCAAATTCAATAAATAAGTGTTTACTTACATATATATATGTAAGTACCATCTGAGTTATACAGCCTATACTTTTGATTAGGAATCATTTACATCATCAAATATTAAGGATAACCATAAATAATAGGATTAAAATAAAAAACGGTAAATAAAATAAATAATAAAAATTAACTACACAGCCAGGTGACAATGTCTTGGAAGTCCGGTGGCATTTTTGCAGCTTCAAGCATCGATACTCCTTTACCATGCATAAACACAAAACATTCATAAAATAAAATAATAGTAATAGTAAAAACAGTAATAGTATAATAGTCATACAGTTGTTACTAAAAAAATGTTAATGTGTTGTATAAAATTCAAAATAGAATTGTTGGTGCAAATTCTTTGTGATAATCAATCATTGCTGTGTAGTGTTTTTAACATATTAATTAAAGCACTTATTTTCTAATAAAAAAAAAATAAAACCATTATTTATTCGTATTTCAATTGTCTAAGAAATGTTAGTTGAAAACCTACTATTCATTGAATGTATAATACATTGATAAATATATTTAATAGCAAAATTGCAAAAATATAATAAACATAGCACATGCTACCATTTTAAATCAAACAAATAGGGATGTAAATAAAGGAAAAATATAATAAATTTGGAACAAATTTGTAGTTTTAAAATTATCTATAAAATTAAAGTTCTTTTTTAAATCAAATCGCGGGCTTTTCATACTATGTAACTATGATACTAACAACTAACAGTTAAAGTTTTTTTTTTATGATAATATATGGTCAATTAGTTTAATATTAAAAATATAAAATATTTGATTAATCTGAGGATAATTATTTAATTTTTTCTTATTAAATGGTAGTTTGTATTATTTATAAATATAAAACCATTTCTTTGAAATAAATAAGTGTATTGATAACTTGAACTCGAATTAGAAATAATAAACATTTGTTATACAATTTTAAAAATATTCAATCTATACATAATAATTATAAAAATTAGTAAATTATGGACAATTTATAATGATTATTTATTATAAGGTACTTTTAAAAAAATTGTAGTTTAATATATTTAAAATTGTAAAACTGAGGCATTATTTATATTAAACAAATAAAGCAAAAGCCAATTAGTATGAGCTTGAAAATTCAAACATAATGTAAAAAAGTTAATCAATATAAGTGTTATTCAGAAATTATGTACCAAACTTGCATATATAGAACCTAATATAATTTGATCTCTGCAATTTTCTAAAAAAAATATTGTTTCCCTGCACCTGGCAACTCTATCCAAAACCAACAGTTATTAATAATAAAATCACCAAATTGAGCATACTAATAAGATTTATAATATAATACATTAATTTGATGTCATTGTAGAATAAATAGCTGCATTATAACTGTACCTGTTTGAAACGGGTAACGAGCAGTTTTTGTCATCAGCAGAAACTACTTCTGCTTCATCATCAGTCTCCATTAAAGCAGTACTCGAGTCATATTCTGAATGTTGAATCATTTTAGATTTTAAAAGGTAGACATACGTTTTATAACGCTTTACCTTAAAAAAAAAAAAAAAAAACCTTAGTATTTAAATAAGCATAATGTATATATAAATTAAAAATACTTCATCAAATAAGTGAACTTCTTTTTCTTTATAAAATTGTAATGTAATATTTTTAGATCCGCGTTCTGGTGGCTTCTTTTTGTGGATATCAAGCTCCACTTCTAGTTGACGCAAAGTATCTTCATGTTCACGAAGTTGTTCTCGCTGTAAACACAAATTTTATAAAATTATATTTTTATACATAATAATACTATTAGTAATTTTCAAACCAAATTTAATTTTGTAGGAGCTGATGGTAATAATGGTCGTTGAAATTTTTTTTGGTTTCCAACAGCACTCGGTAATCGGGGTGCAGAAAAACTAGCACATACAAAGTTTATTGTGTTTATCCACGAGTCTAATTCTTTGGGATCGCTAAGGAAGTAAAATAGCATATAAACTCAGTTTTAAACGGAAAATCAATGTAAAATTATTAAGTACCTGGTTTGAAACAAATACTCTGCTTGATCAGCTGTAACCAGTCTAAACACATGCTGTTTTTTGGTATAGTCTGTTGCTTTTGTCGCTAAACCATGATGAATATGAATTGCATTATGTATATTATCGCTAATTTGAGATTTTCGAAATCCAGAATCATCTTTATGTAGATAAAGTATTAGATCACGTAGTGTACAAAAATACATCTTCCAACTACGTTTTCCTCTTGCAGCTATTATATCAAAAAACAATCAAATATAATTACTGATAAATAAAATTTTTAATTGTTCATACTTTTTTTTCCATTAGCTTCCATACAGCATTTTCTCATTACATAACCTTTTTTGTATTCCAAAGCCTGGGTCATGACGTTTTCATCATAACTTCCACTTTTGCCCATTTGGCTGGCGATTTTATTTCCAAGACCATCAACCGGTTGACTAGCATTAGCATTTTTTTGCTGATTGTCATCTAAATCATCATCGCTAAAAAAACATTGTTTAGTAGAATAATAATTTTACACGTGCACAAGTTATTTTACCTGGCCCATTCAAGTGGATTAGACTTAATAGCCATGTATAATTGTTTAAGAATGTCTCGGGGAAAATGTTCATTATCATTTAGACCAGCAAGGTTTTCGATAAATTCATTACATGTCATTTTACGTCCTATCATATGCCCATGTAAATCTGTATTTAGTAGCATAATGGCACATGTTAATGTATGAACTGCATCTAAAAATGTATCAACAGTTAATTATTAAAACAAGTTAATATACTTATTCAAACAGAAGAAATTATAATCATAAATTGGTGCAAATACTATTGATAAATATTTAAATACGAAAAATTCAGTAATATAATATAAATTAATTATTCTTAAACTATTAAATGAATACATAAAATCTTAGTTATATATATTATTTGAAAACAAAATACAATTTAATAGACTCTAAATGTCCACACAACAGCAAATACAGTTTTGTATATCTATGAGGATAACCTACTTTAATTTAATTAATACATTAAATTATAAATCTTATCATAATCTTACACAATAAAAGTAAAAATTACTTAGTTATTAATTAAAGACTACACATTCATAAGATAATAGCAATATAATAAAATATTACCAGGAGAATTAAAACATTGAGGATTGCAGTCCAAAAATCTTTTGGAAAAATGAACTAATACCCTTTCTCTTTCTTGAGTTTCTCCAGTCAAACTAAATTGTTTTAAAAATTGTCTTAACGCTAAGTCTAATGAATTGCCTTTGAAATCAAAATATTTCAAATATTCTTCTGCTACAGCTCTACTAAACTCATTACTGAAATAAAATAGTTTTAATTAATCACAGAATAAAATAAGATTTTTTATCATTAATACTTTTTACTTAAATGTCTTGACACATCACTCTTTTTAAAACCTTCCAAATAAAATAAACGTTTTGCTAGTCTTACTGCTGATGGCATATCTACACCTTTCGGAGAATAATGAAAACTATGTAAACTATCAGAATCTACATCTTCATTTAGTGTCCAGTGGTCATCGTTGTTGGTAACAGAATTTGCCAACTGAGCAGCACCTTCCATTAATGCTAATAAATGTTGAACATCTTCTTCATCCTAAATAAATAATTAAAATAAATTCTGAAAACAAGAAATTATAAATATAAAATGCCACAAACTTTAAAATCTTGATTTTCATTGTTGTTAATGTTTTCTTTATCATTGTAGTATCTATTGTTGTTTTCAGTGTCTTTGACTAAATTGGTTTTATCTGGGCCTTTTACCTGAATAACGATTCGATGATCGTTATGAGTATCATATGAGTACTGTCCTTCAGTAGAGCGTTTTCGAATCTTTGGCTCGCTCGCTACAATAGTTGAATCACTATCACTAGGATCTGACACTTCTAATTCCCGTGAGTTAATTAAGAAATCTGAATCTGCTGTATCTTGAAAATCTGGACTTGATATATTCGAATGACTGCTATTTGGATGACTGTTGCCACGATAAGATCCTTTAGCGGGACGTCTTCGATCAGACGGCGATGACATTAAAGATGACGATATAGATGTGGGCGAAGTAGGTGACATTACTTTTTGAAGAGAATTGCAAGAAGCTGAAGTGTCATCAGGAATATGACCAGCATTGTACGTCCATAATACCCTTTTATCCTCAATTTCTAATGGTTTTACGTTAGTATTTAATAAGGTGTTACAGGATGATGTGATATCTTCGTCTTCGGTATCAATACTGGTAGTGGAGGACATTGGGTATTCAGAATTTGACCGTAAAGGGTCTTCTGAACGAGATTCACGTTTAAAATTTGAAATACTCGTAGGAGGAGGTGAGACTGGTGATGTATTTCCAGATTTTGGTTTTGCAATATTAGGCCTATCATTCTCAACAGGACTACTAGGAACAGAATTTGAATTGACTTTTTGAAATTTATTAGGGCCTCCATTTTTTACCAAACAATCAACTTTTCGATCTCTTTTGGGCAATAGTGATGCCTGAAAATACGAATATAGGTATTTAAACATATTATATTATTTAAAAATTCTTACTTGAGTATTTTTAGACATTTTGATAACTCTTTCCCCGGTCATCATAAATGCTTCATATTTTGGAGCGTCTACTTTGTTTGTATTTGTTCTGGTAACCATTTCTAATGGTGGTGGATGATGTTTTGGTGGAGGTGGAGGGGAATCAATATCATGAAATAGTACTTGAGGCGAATTTTCATCCTCAGATAGTTTTTCGTGCACTTTATTTTTTATAGCAGGATCTGAAAAGTCATGTGCATTTGAATTAGATTTAAATAGATAAGTAAATACATAAGTTATTAAAAGACACATATTAATACTATTTTATATACTAACCTCTCACTAATTTAAGAGTAATAGGATTTTTTGCCAACCTCAAGCATTTTAGTACTAAAACAAATTAATTGAAAATTAATAGGTATTAACTATTATTAGTATTAAACCATAAATGATAAAAAAAGATGCATTTACCTTCTTTTGTTGTACATGTTCTTACATCTTCATTATTTATTTTTATGATAATATCTCCAACTTCAATCTAAATAAAAAAAAATAGTGTTTTAAAATATACATTCAATTTTTACAAAAATCATTTAATTTATTTAACCTATAGAATTTATCTAAAAGCTAACAATATAAAGTCTGGTTCACATATCAAAAATATTTGACCATGTGAACTGAGCATAATAGATACCTAGGATATAAATGTTAGATGTATTTATCACATTTGTCCAACACTGATCATTTCAACATTGGATAATGATATCAACCTCAGATAGTTAGGTACCTTGTTAGGTATACATAATATATAATTTGTTTAATATTTTAAAACAATGATAATAATTAGTTGGTTCCTACATTTTTACAGGCCTAATTAATCAGATTAGATTTGTCAATTCGTATGAAGAAATTGGATTAACTTCCTGATTTGATTACAGAAAGTACTTACTAAGTAAGTAATCTGATAGGTATCTACTTATATATAACGGTTACATGGTAAATATTATTTTTTGTCTTAATCCTACTACATTAAAGCCTGTTCTCACCAATATAAAAAAAAGGTATTAATCTGATTCTTAAACTGAGTTTATGGTTGATAACCCACCACAATTGGTCGATTATCTTATTAACTCTGTTTAAAAATCAACGTTTACATTGGTGAGGAAGAGCCTTAAATTAGTGACCATGGTGTAGACAAACGAGTAAATATTGTTATTTCTAAGTTATTTCAAAATTCTGAAATTCATTTGACATTAAGTTTATAAATTTTAATGAACTTATTGAACTGTGTGTGTCGTGTGTATGTGATAATCAAGGTGATACTTTTGGTACACCACTTTTTTAAAAATATTTAGGTACTTACCTATTATAAAAATAGTTTCTTTTGAAAACTATCTATGTACCTATATCAACCCCAACACGCAAATTTGCTGTTAAAAAAAAAATATTAGTTTTCTAATTAGCTAGTTTGACAGTGCATAAAAATATAAAAACAATACATAGCACCCATGAAAGCTGTGAATTTACACAAAAAACAGAATCATTTTATAATATTATAAAGATAAAAATAATAAATAACTCGATATGCTAAGAAAATATGTAGGCAGCTACATGTATCTACATGTAGTCAGGCACAATATTTGACATTGTCATTTAAATTATTTCAATACGTTACATATTCACGCATATTCATTATTTTAATTACAAGAGCATTTTTAAAAAAGATGCTGAAATATTAACATAAAACTGAGTTAGATTATAATTAATAGTTTTTTTAAATACCTACACGTTACACAAAAGTAACGCGAATGTAGCTCCCCGTGTAGGACATTGTACGTTATAATCAATAAAAAGTCAGGGCCAAATCACTTTCCGGATTTAGAAATATGTGTAGGTAGGGACCAATTCTACAGGGCAATAAAAATGGGTACACATCTAAATGGGTAAAGTGCACATAATATCTATTTCCAGGTAGGTACATTGCCCACCGTAATATACAAACGTTAAAACTGTGATATTATTAATCGATTGAAAGAATTATCATAGATACCCCCGTAAATACCATACATACTTTTTCTGTGTGCATTAAATACGTTAGCGTACGGGAAAACGTGTGTATTCGGACGATTGCATCAAATACCTGTGGGCACCTAGTCGAGAAGTGAAATTTAAACTCATCAAAGGGAAAACAAAATCGAAACAGACATCTACCTGGGAAATACGTTAAAAAATCTAACAATTCCCCAGAGAATATGCTGTGTACATAGGAATCAAGGTAGGCGTCATAGAGGCGTTTATCGAGTGAGTTATCCAACACTACAGTGTGGGTCCGATATTAGCGGTTTGGATCACTTTAAATGTCACCGTGTCGTGCAATTTTTTTTTTTTGGACCGTAGGTCACTTTACTTGCAAGTTGGGTGCTAACAAATGGAAAATAAGTAAATCGATGGCACATATTTTAGAAATCGCGCTGGGCCTATAAATTTGATAAATCGTGTAACGTTTGGTTGGGTGGTACCTGTGCACATTCGGCGGCCGGCGTGTTCTCGATTATGTCGTAGATGACTGGCGGACAATCAGCGATGCTGAGCAACGAGAATCCCAGGCCCGAAGGCATTTCCGAGGGCCTGGAGAGCGTGACCAAAATCTCGTCGGCCATGGCTGCGACCCCGTCAACAACAACAATGACAACATGCACAACAAGACACGACAAAAACAACAACAACAACAACAACAACAACGGAAACGACGACGGCACAACGGTACACCTCACGGCCTCACCGAGGCCGGCTCGTGTCTATAACAACCGAATGCCGCCCCGCAACGGTACCCCGGAACCCGAACGCGGTTTTATCGGGCGAACGACGGTGCGCGAGTACACAGCCACGGACGATCGGCTAGGTCATGTTTACACGGCGCGCGCGGATTGTCGCGGACACTGCGCTCCGTTCGTTCATTCACGGCGATAAATCCGTCGACGGACGATCGCGAACATAACGATTAACGGGTAACGGCGGCGGAGGCGGCCACTGCGACGACGAGCAGCACATGATACGGACCCGTAGATCGTACGGCGCGCGCGGTCGCGGGCCGCGGGGTAACGGCTCTACACGGTGATACGCCGCGACCCAGTTGTGACGTCACGGGCGCCCCGCCACCGAACGGTTACTATAAAATCCTTATCACACACACACACACACACACACACGGACGTCGGTCCCCGTGCGTTTTACCATATACGTGCATGTTGCATGATAACGTTGAACACGCACCGCGAACCGTACGCGACGTGATGCCGCGTGTTTGGGTAAAAATCGAGAGGTAATTCGTTATTTATTACGATTGTTATTATTGTTTATTTTTACCGTTAATGCCCGGCGCGAAATCATTGTCCGCCGTTGGTTCGCACGACTGGACTGTAACATTGCGATACCGCTGCACCAATAAACCGTAAAATATTATTTCCGGGTGTAAGGGGGGGGGGTGGCGAGCACGATTCGTAGGAGAGTATTCCGTCGGAAATGGGTTTTTCGGAACCGCGTTTCGTCGGTGAAATTATCCGTCACGTGACCTACCTGTTGTACGGCGTCCCGAAGGTTGGACGGACAACGGCGCGAAAAAAATGACAATAAAAAAAAATCCGCCCCCCGGAATCGCGACGTCGCACACGATTTAACATCGGACGTTGCAACGACATCACCGTGTCGGGCGCGCGATTCGGCGTGCTATTATTGTTTACGCGCTTTACAATCGGAATCAACTGTAACATTACGATCGGGTGTTTATTTCCGAGGGGGGGGAGTGGTAGGGGGATCGGGAGGGCAATACCTCCCCCCCCCGCCAAACCTCCCCGTAACCGGAAAAAATGCGCGAACCACGTCGCGACGCGACGTGACATACGTGCGAAACGGGTAACGTCGACCATCATCGCGGTCAATTGAACGAAACGGACGTAAAATAAACTTGTCGGGCCTTTACTGCCTTTTGCGCCGACTAATGTGTACCGATAACAATCGTGATTCGCGCTGTTACGCCGGACGTCGGCGCCGTCGAGTTCGGACACCCTATCGCAGTATCGCGCGCAGGGATCGCGGGCGGTTTTCGGCGACTGTCGCCGGCTGCCGGCGTAAACGCGTCCGCGACTGCGACTTGGCACGGCACGGCGTTTCGCGGCGCGTTTGCGTTGGTTTCGTCGCGTTTTCGCGCGCTTTCGGTCCGCGAAAGAATCGCGTACGCCGAACACACGCGTTCGCCAGTTCGAGACGCGGGTGACGTTTTCGAAACGTTCGAGCTAGGCATCAATAGACGTTCGACGGTTTCGGTTTGTCGGGTTTTTTTTTTTTTTTTTACACAATTTTTTAATCGGTCGGCGCTGCGCGGACAAAATCGCCGGTCTCGACCGAAGTGCTTGGCAGTTTAACGAGCGGTTCGTTGAAAGTCGAATGTTGCGGGTTTTTTTTCGAAAAAAAAAAAAAAATCGGGCTCAATCTAGGTACCTAGGTTTTAATTTTATTTTTCCATACAAATTTTAATATCTAATATTACGGCCTTTCAAGACGCGCATAACCCTCTCTCTGTCTCTAATCTTCGTTTTAGAAGAAGAAGGAATATTTCCTTTTCGACACTCACGATGACCAAAACGTTATCCGTTGTACACAGGTGTCCGTTCAATCGTAACTGGTTGTTTCTACCTATACGGAACCGTGAGATTTACCGGAAACATTTCAATGTAGAATGTCTTGGAGGAATAACGCAGAACACCGACCATCCCGTGTATCTAGGCGTGACCTTAAATAGAACGCTGCGGATTTACACATTTTTACGCCGTTCAAACCAATAATTGTTGTGACGCAATGGTGATTATTTCGACCGAGAATCTCGGCGGGGTAATGGGGTTCAAACTCCACGGGTATAGTAAAATGTTTACACTTTTTTTTTTACGAAAATATTCTTCGATGGATTTGTTCGTGTTGAAAATAAGACGTTTTCGCCTGTGCCCACCCCCCCCCCCACCGCGGTTTTGTACTCGTACAACAGCGTCAACAGTACAACAGTGCCACTCCCCAAGCTACGGCAATAGTGTCTGCTGTTCGGAATATATTTACTTTGGAACTAAAGGTTAACCGGTAATACCCTTGTGTGCGTGTAATCCTATGACTGATAACCAATTATTAACCGCCACCTGCTCTTCCACTGGGGGAAAAAAGGCGCCGGTTATGAATGTGTCTACCGAAATTATTTTACAAGCGGCAAATTACCAGCTTTGCACATTGTGTACTCCAATAGCCGCCGGTCAAATCGCTAGGTTTTGGCGGCCAGACGGCGGCGGCAGCGTGGTGTCCTAGACCCGCGGAATATACGCTTTCGAGCGACTGCTGACGTAACGCAGTCCGCACGGGCGTGTAATCAAACGAAACGTGCCCAGTCGCGTTTCCGGGGCCGGTCGCGCCGAGAAAAATCCGCAACAACGTCGGACGGTGACGCGGCGTAGAGTTTTACGGTTTTTCGTTGGTTTTTTTTTTTTATCTATTATTGTTTTCCGGTCGTTTTCGCCTTTTTAACCCGTACACATTATTGTTATTATTACTGGTATTGTCGCGGCGGCGGCCGATAATTTGTCGCCGTGTACGCGCGCGCTCGGTCCGTGTGTTTAACGCGTTTTCAATTCGAATGTCGCGCGCACAATAACGTGCGAGGGCATAACCGCCGGCGTCGCGTCCGCGCGTTTGCGCGTAAATATTATAACGCGCGCGATATTTTAACGCGGACGCGCGTGAACATTTCAATAACATATCGCAATGCGATAGGCGTTACGGCGCGCGGCGACGCGTTTCGACCTTGTCGGGCGCGCCGGCGGCGCGCGACGTTTACGGGCACGCGCGCCGTGACAACGATAACGTTACGCGGGCCGCGCGACAAACCGGCGACCGTCGTCAATACGCAACGCTATCGCCGACAAAAAAAAAAAAAAACCGAACCGTCGACGGGCGATTATTGTCCGTAACTGCGTCCGCGCAACCCGGTCCTGAGAACGCCGTCCGCCCGCCGCATCGCTGACGATCCGACGACCCGCGGAACCTGTCGTTGATCGCGGCAAGGGTCGCGCGCCCGGCGGCACTGCGCAAACCGATTTTCAGCATTTTCGCGCGAATTGTTTCGGTCTGCGCGTTCAGTTGTTAACGCGGTCGTTCCCGCGTGGCCCGACCCGTCATCGCCGACACGTTCAGCGAACGCAGTCGTCGACAACGATTTCTGTTCTCCGCTGTCGCAGAAACAGCCGCGCGATCGTACGGTTTCCATTTACACGCACAGGGTTAGTTTGCGCGGTTCAACTGTGCGCGTACACCAACCCTTAGAAGCGTAGAAAAAAAAAAATGTGTTTTCTATATTATTAGCCATCGTATGGGCATGTTAGTCTTGTGAGCGTTCCGGTTCGTAAAATTTTCCATTTCGAGTACTGATTTACAGAACTCGCATCGAAATCGTATTCGTTTTTTCTCTGAACACGATGTTATTTATTCGTTTTTCATTTCATTAATCTAAACGGGATAGAGCCCAACAGCGGTTTTAGTATATAATAATGGGGGGCTATGAGGTTATGGAACATATTAAATTTCAATTAAAAAAAAATTCACCGTGTATCAAGTTGACGCAAGTTCCGTTTCACCCGAATTGACGTTAAAGTTTATTTGGATGTCTCGGTAACCTTTGAAAATGGATTATGAGTAGGGTTGCCACCGTTTCGGGTTCGCATATAAATCTACGGGCTGCGGGTTCAGTGAATCGTTCTCCGGGTAGTCGTAAAATTGGTACTACACGTATTATAATTGTATAGTTGGTCGATAAGCTGCACGAACAATATTTTTCATTCGCCAAAACATTAGATAAAATACGTTAATGATTAATAATGTTTGTAATAATCATAATTACATATTGACTATACATAAAATGTATATATAAGCGTATAGGCACAGACACGGTATCTTTGAATGACGACTTTTTTTTTTTTCTGCTTATCAGCCTGTTTCTGGGTCTACCATCTTTCAAAGGTGGCGACCCGAATTACCAGTTTTAGATTCTGAGTGGAGCGAAGAAGCTTATGGTTTTACAAAGATGTTTATTTTTTTTTTTCTATGGACAACTTTTCTACCAAGTCCTCTCATCAATAATGTTCGCAGTTGTAACTATTTTAGTACCTATACGATTTGTATTCACAGTGATGTTTGGTGAACAAATTTCGCTTACCGCACCTAAAGAATATATCCTTCAGATGCTAATAACCGTTCTCGAACAATATTTAGAATCCTGTTCTTTTAATCCACGGATGCTGGTATAGTATACCTAATTCGAATAATTGATATTTTATCACTAAGGTACCTTTTATTACATTTAATCGAACGGTTTCAACTATAATTTATTACAAGCACCGAGGAATGTATTGGTGTTATTATGTGTGCTTTTTTTTCTGTCTGTGAACTACTTCTTTTCTACCAGAAATCTTGTTTCAATCAAAAACCTACAAAAACCTTTTTTTTTTATTGCGTTTTGGACCTAGTTGACGTATTTAGGAGATCATTTTTTGATTATACAAGTAGTTTTAATAATAATCGGGGAAAGCCTGAAAAAAATGTAAAAGGTTTACGATGTTTATTTTCTTACGGAAATCTTGCTCCAAATTTCAAATGTAGCATATTTTCTGAAAGAAAATTTTGTCTTTTTGGTGTTTAAGGAGATACTTTTTGAATTTTTGTGTTATTTTCTTATAATAAAATATTAAAATCCGGGGAAAAACTGAAAAGTTTACGGAATTAACGGTTTCATTATTTTCGATTTTATTTTATTTTTGTAATTTAGTTTAAAGTGATCGTAGAGACTTGAGATTTGCATAAAATACCTATTTATATTAGCTTATTCTAGACGTAATATAATTATCAAAATATTCTGGTGGTTTTTTAGTTATTCATAGACATTTGACATTTTGTTCATGTTTCTTTAGTTTTTATTTGGTTTAATATGAATACAA